AGCACTGGCTCTACGAAACACGTGTGATTCGTTTGTCTCTTCAAGTTAAGAACCATCGCTGGGAAGGAAAGAGGAAGCTACTCTGCCCCTACTGAGTTCTTAGGTACACTGAAGCAATCCTCTTTCCTTTTGCACAGAGATCAGAGCAAGCGAGCAAATATAATGCATTCTATCAGCTAATGAGACATCAGCTTCTACTCATTGACTTTGATATGGCAAGGCAGTCTCTTGCAACTGCAGCTGTACGACTGTAAGTGAACAAATAAGAGTCAACAGTGAACACACATATAGTAGGCTTACTGCTGTACAGTAGCTACAGAACTTCCTATGGCCTACAAGTTTCTTAAAATGGAATTAACCTCCTCAGCTGCTTAAAAGTTAAGGTTCTGGTTTATGTTAGCATTCTCCTGAGGTCAACTGTCAAGAGAGGTCTGACTCAATTCTCTGAGGCATTTATCCTTACTGTGAAAAACCATATAGAGAATAATTTGGAGTGGTGGTCTCTGGACCTTGAGATTTCAGGGGATACTTTGAACACAATGCAAGGTGGCTAAAAAGAGTGAGACTCAGAACACTTACATTTCCTTTTGCTGCTGGTTCAGGACAATTTCCACAGCAGCTCTGCATAGATCCAGCACTGTAAAAATGATAGAGGATAATTTTGAAGCTGCTCAATGACTGACGTGTTGGCCAATACAGAGCTGCCTTTGAATTTACACGTACAGAAAAGCCGTAGACAGAAATCTGTTTTGTGGTATTTTTTAAACTTTCTACCAAACATCATGCTGGCCCTGATCATAATACCAATAAAATATTTAGGAACTATATCAAAGTTCTTCACTTTTGGTTGCAGTGATGATTGATGGGATTTTAATCTTGTGGCATTTGCATCAGGTAGGAAGTTGGGGAAAGCCCTTAAAATGCTCAATTGGCTTTAATAACCCTAACATCTGTTGAAGTTTTTGTTCAAGTTATATGTATTCTCTGGCTGATTTCAGTGCTACAGGAATTCTTAATGCCTCATCATTACTTTCCCCAGCAGCTGTCATTGGGCATTGCCTCTGAGAGCTGGAGGCTCACAGAGCTGACTGAGCCAGGTGCATAAATATTATTTTATAGCTATGTACAATGCATTATATTGAAAACATATTACTCATTTTCATAACTTGGAGGAGAGATTTTGGAAAGCATTGTCTGTTGGATGCAATATGTATCTTTTCTGTATAGATTTTTAAAAATAGCAATTATACTTTTTAATTCCAAAGTAATGCTTGCTTACATATCATATTGATTGAAAAGTAGTACAAATACATTGGCCAGAAAAAGAAACCAGCTTGCCACCTTTATTCTTTAAACATCAGGTGGTATAAAAGCTCCTCAATAGAAATTCCTAACTTTTATTGGGATAAGAAGCTTAAATTATAAAAGTATCCATGGCTATCAAATCCTTATTTTTACAACAGACTTCTAATATTTTGGAAGTCCAGTTACCATGTTAACAAGGTTACCATGTTAACCAATACTCACTCAATTCAGAATTACCAGACCCACCTTATTCCATCGGATTTATGAAGAGGAATGAAAAGTTTGTTTTAACCAAATGGTGTAGCTTCTGTTTTTGAGATTACTGTAAGCAGTAGTGAGTTCCCCAGTTCAAGGGAAAAAAAAAAACAAAACACGCATTTTGAAATCTTATTTTGAGGTTCAGAGGTCAATAAAGATCAACACAAGGAGCATTTTTATTGTCAAGTCGTAAGAATGTCCATCAGAATTTTCTCCTAAGCATACATTGTATTGGTTATGAGACTGATTTAGTCAATCAGCTCTGCTCTGCAATCACTGAAGAAATGTTGCACTTACTTCTATTAAATATAAATAGGAACCTTTATGTCTGTTATAATCAGCTGAAACAAGAGCATGCTTGAAACTGTAGGGCTCTTAGCATGAAAATTTCACCACTCTTAGACGACAGAACCAGAGTATACTTTTTCTTGTTTTCATGTACACCACATAAGTAAAAAAAGTCAAGACATCTTTCCTTTTACTATCTTAACAAGGCATAATAGAGTGGAACTGGTAAAAACAGTGAGTAATGTGTGTTATTTAACAAAGCTAAAATTCTGCTTGGCTTTAGCTCCATTTAGTTCCAAATGTAGTGCCCTGTTTCGTAACCCACCAAGGGAATGTGGGAAAAGTACAGTGGTTAACTCTATCCACCAAATACAGCATGTGGTCCTTTAATGTGAATGTGCTCACTTATTTCAAAGATCACAATGAGTATTTTAATGAGAAGTAATTCAATAACATTGTAGGTTGATCTATTCATAGATTTGATTGAATGGGAGTTCACTCACTTTACATCCTGTAAAAATAAGCCAATGGAATCACACCAGGTATTTTAAAATTAAATCTATCACTACAGGACAAGCCAAAATGCTGCCTGAATAGCACTGCTTCTGTGATCTGCTCTTCCTGGTTCAGGTTGCGCTTTCAGACTTGGGTTTCCTATCTCCTCAACCTTCTTTCATGGAAAGCAAGCAGTTTTTTTGTTCTGGCTGCGAAGCTGTGTTCATCTTTCATTTCTACCTGAAGAGATTAAAGCTTACATGTTGCAAATCCTGGAAGAATGCTTTCTGCAGCAGCCTGGCTGCTTAGTGTTGACAAGAGTCAGGTGCTTCCTAGTATCCAAGGAAGATATCCAAGATCTTTAATGGCAAACAGTGCATCTACTCACTTCAGAAGCCTCAGGAGTCAGACTGAGGGTGGGTGGAAGTCCTGGGGATCTTGGCAGTGTATATGCTGGAGAGCAGTTGGCAGCATTTAAGCAGTTAGCATTTAGGTAGCTGGCTTAGATTAAACCCTAAGAAAATGTAACCTGGTGGAACATTTTTTCATTCCAAATCGATCAATGTAAATTTCACTTAACTGCACCAAAGCCATGGGAGCTGTACACCTATTTGTGTAATTTAGCATAAACAAATCAGAACAGACCCTTGCCTCAATTTCTGTGTGCATAAAAAGACAGTAGAGTTACTCTTTGCTTGATATCCCAGTTAGTATTTCCATAGTACTTTGAATTTATAGAAATAAATTAAAAAGGAGTATTTCTGAGCACTGAAATTGTCTATGATGTTAATTTGTCCTAGGCACGTTTTTGGATCATGCCAGACACCTTTTTATGAAGTTACCTCATGGAAGGGATTAATGCAAGGTTTTTGATATGTTGTGTCTTAACCAGAGGAAGAAAGCAATGCAAGTCATCATTTCATGGCAGCTGGTCCCCATGCCAGACCTTCCTTGGTACATATGGATTGCTAACTTGTGGCTAACTTGTGAGCTGAATGGTGCAGTGTTGCCTGGTGCACACTTAGCACAGGCTGCTCTGTACTGAGGGCATGGGGACCAAGCCTTTCAGTATCTTTTCAGTAAAAAAGAAGGGGACAGGCTCTTCAATGTAGCCTGTTGGGACAGGACAAGGGGAAATGTTTTCAAACTAAAAGAGAGGAGATTTTGACTGGATATAAGGAAGAAGTTTTTTACAATAAGTGTGGTGAGGCACTGGAGCAGGTCGCCCAGAGAGGTGGTGGATGCCCTGGCACTGGAGACACCCACAGTCAGGCTGGACGGGGCTGTGAGCACCTGATCTGGCTGTAGGTGTCCCTGTTCATTGCAGGGGTGTTGGAATAGATGGCCTTTAAGGGTCCCTTCCAAGTCAAACGATTCTATGATTCTATGAACACCAGACTGTACCTAATTTGTTCTCCATCTTGCCCATATCTATTAGGTGACCCCAGCACATGGGCAGAGTGTCAATATTTGGCGTGTAAATACACCACACCAAGTCACGTCATGCCAAGTGCCTTGCCTTGTCACTGCTGAGCTACTCTTCCAATTCATTCTTTCCCCTGAGCCTCGAGGTGGCAGGTAAAGCCAAAGAGAAGGTGGGATTCTGGACTTCAGTCAAAGCCCTTCCTGCTCAGTCACGTCCCCGAAAGTCTCTCTCAGCCACGGTGCCCGCGAGGCCGCTCCCGCTCCGCTCCTACCGGCGGCGGGCAGATCCGAGGCTCTGCCGTTCCCGCCGCCCGGAGGGGCCGCCTCGCGGCGCAGCGGCCGCTGCGGGTCACTGTTCGCCGCCGCCTCACCTGCCCCGCGGCCGCTGTGAGGTCGGTGCCTCCCCCCCCCCCC